ATCACAATTGGCTAGAAGAAAAAATCTCCTCCGAACAATGGGTGTTTTACAAATTGAAAGCCTAAAAATTTCTGGACTGTTTTTCATTAGGTACTCATATCAGCAATAAAATGTAAGATTCTAATGTGTATAACCAGGAACATAACCTTGGTTACAACCAACAACCTGTGATTTCAACTACAGGAGTAAATCTTTTATCAAACTTCTTGCAATTGAATCATTGCCTCAGTGATGCTCTGTGTAAGGCACTTAGTAAATTTTAAGAGCATCTGACAGTACTGTTGGTAGTTTTGATTTGTTTGTGAGGATGCTCTAACAATGCTTCAAGATTAACAGGTTAAGGTGTGGAATAATCACTGAAAACAGCCATATGAATTACTGGCCACAAAACTCTTCAGAAGCCACATCCATTCTAGTCTAGGTTCATATCACCCTTGCAACATAAAGCTATCCTTTTCTTAGCAGTCCAGGAATTAGACCCTTTAAAATTGTGTAGTAGCTAATTGTATGAGAGGAATTAATTTTGTTCCTAACTCTTTCATCTAAGCTTCCACCCTTTCAATAAATAACTTGTATGCAAGAGTGAAATATTCATGGTATTTACTATTTAATTCACAAAACCCTACTTCTTTAGGCCAAATGTCATTCAACCAACAGCCATCAAGAATTATAAAGCAAGACACACCTCTAAGAAGTGTGTGTTGCCTACTTCCAATACACTACACAGAGAAAGGAACACTAAACAGACAAAAAAGACAAAGAAGCCATTATATGGCTCTTCTAGGGATTATTCTGAAAATACATTTTCTTTGTTCTTCTTTTCCCCCTCCTTATTACTCTGTTTTATTTTGTTGGACTGAGGGTTTTTGAAGGTGTTTGACATTTTAGAAACAGAAGCTTCCTACTTGGAATTTCTGTAGGAAAGCAAAGAAAGCACTCAGTATCTGCGCATGCTCCTCAGATCTCCTTCTCCAGTGGGGACTAAAAGCATTTTACTTGACAACATTTGCCTCCATCAGCTGGAAAGAATTTTGCTTATTTTGCCACATTTGGAAGCCTCCCAGCATAGGATAATACCATTTGCAGAAATGCAGATAATTGGCATCATAGAATGCCAGGTACCTCAGACAGAGTGCTTGAATGGTACAGAATCAGTGTAACTAAGTTTGCTCAGCAAGAATCTCTTCAGGTAGTCAATTATATAGAAACAAAGGCAACAGTGACAAAATTGATACTGACCTCTAAGCTCCCACATACCATTTTTCTGTATGACTATGCTGATCTTAAAGAAACCAAAATGTAGTTCAAGAACTGGGAACAGCAGTCAAATTCCCCACTTAAAAAAGCAGGCATAATAAATTATTTCAAACTCACTGCATCCACTTACACTATAAATGTGTTTAAGAGAAATAAAAGAAAAGAGAAGAAGGTATCAGGAATCAGAATGTGTTTCCTTCAGAGGTGGGAGTAATGATAATACATGTAACCTGAAGAGATTTCCCTTGCCTAGATTAATTCATAGCTGAAGGCTGTTACAGAACGATGATCAGTCAGATGCCAGACTTTCCTGCTCAGAGATCTGTGCCATCAGGAACAGGGCTTGACATTGAAGTATTTTTATTTATTCTGTGCAAAGAAGAATCACCTTGAAATAGATTATTCATGGATGACAGCTATATATTAGATGCATATAAATGGCAAATTAGATCTCCGTGTTCACAAGTGGGTATTCAGAAAGTAGAACTGGCCTTACCCCTCACTTGTCTTAACAGATGAAAAGTGATTGAACAACTCCATCCTTTGGTGACAAATACCTGGGACTGTCTGTGAACCAAACAGAATTTGCAGTTTGTAGAATCTAATGATCTTGGGAAGAGGTAATGAGCCACATTTCATTAGCCTTGGTCACATTTCGTTCCTTTTTCTGCATCCTTTTGCTTCTTCATACAGAAGAGGAAAATTACATGCATGTGGTTAGCAAGTTATCAAAAAAATACATTAATACTCTCATTTCCTCAGCTATCTTCTCAGTAACTCCACTGTAAATTAGAGCTCCATTGGTCTACAGCTACATGTATTAAAAGCCTGAGGAAGCATGTTCACTTTGCTTTAACCAAGATCATTATTTATACACAGATGTGCTGGTTTTGGCTAGGATAGTTCATTTTCTTCACAGTAGCTGGCATGGGGATGTGTTTTAGATTTGTGCTGGAAACACTGTTGATAACCCAGAGATAGTTCAGCTGTTGCTGAGCAGAGGTTACACAGAGTCAAGGCCTTTTCTGCTTCTACTGTCACACCAGTGAGGAGGCAGGGGGTGCACAAGGAATTGTGACCCCAGCTGCCCACAGGGATGTCCCAGACCATGTGGTGCTGTGCTCAGCACATAGAGCCAAGGGAAAGAGAAGGAAGAGGAGAATGTTTGGAGGGATGGTGTTTGTCTGCTCCAGTCACTGTTACCTGTGATGGAGCTCTGCCTTCCTGGGGATGGCTGAACACCTGCCTGCCCATGGGAAGTGGTGAATGTTTTGCTTTGCTTACATGTGCAGCTTTTGCTTTTCCTGTTAAATTGGGTCCTTATCCCATCCCATGAGTTTTCTGATTTAGTCTTCGAATTCTCTCCCTCAGTGCACAGAGGGAGAATGCACACAGGGCTGTCAGGTACCTACTTGCCAGCTGGGGTTAAACCATGACAGGAAACAGTGTAACCAAAGACTACACTTTTCCAGGTGGCCTAGATCCTGAAAACATAGTCCTGCTCAAATAGTCCTCCATCTGCCAAGATATGCCATACTTTCTAGAAAATAATTAAAATTTTAGAACTACTTTTTAGAATATTGTTACTGAACAATATTTTTGGTGGCAATTTTCTTTTTAAGCATATGGGACAAAGAGCGATTAGATAAGGTTACAATTTTGTCTTTTACAAAACCCCAAATGGGACAGCAATCTCTTGTAATCATTCTTAATAATAATAATTAAGAGCTATGGAATATGCTTTTGCCTTTTATCTTCCATGTTTAACTTCTTAAAAGTACACCTAAAACTTCCTGTGCCTATTAAACTGTCTGTTTTTAAAATCTGCCATTAGCAGGCACAGCAAGTTCATTCTGATGACTTTTAATTGTCTCCCATAATAAAAGGGGCAAGATTAGGATTGAATACATCAGAGTGATTCAGTGGTAGTTTGTTCTTATTACCAACACAGTTAAAGAGAGGCTGTAATAAGCTCCTGTATTACATAGATTCTAGGTTCTGAAACAAATTTGTTTTTCACTGCATTTTTTTCTCACTGTTTGCATCTCATGGTACAGTTTAAGCCTTGTTCACAGACGTATCACAATCTTTTGGCATAATGTCTTAGGAAAGTCATGTAAACATGACTTGCTCGTGGATAATAGTATTTTCCAGCAAGCATGCAGTTTTCCATTGCTATTGTACCATTTACTCTATTCTAGACATTCTATAGAGCACTGATTTGTAATTAACTTGTGAAGTAATTTTCAAAGTTTAATTAGTGGTTAAATCCAGTTAATTCTTGTTAAAACACAGGTTCTTTAGATGTCAAGTGAAGCTCAATATGATTGTGGTCTTAGAAAAGTCTCCTAAGTCTCTTTTAACAGTTTCTCCTCGTTTTAAAACTTTAACAGTACAAAAGAAAACCATCTGAGCTTCTACAGTTTGACTGATTTTACAGTTTGTACAGTTTATGTACAGTTTTTGCTAGTTTGAGGTTATAACCTTTCAAACTGAGACTACTCTGACATAAGCTGGGGCATAATTTCAGGTTAAGAAAACCTCTGAAAGCTCAAGCTGTATTTCCAGCACACCCAAATCTTAACATTGAGATAGAAGTATGCATTTTCAAAATGCCATATTTGACTGACTGATCCACTAGCCAAAACCAGCATTAACTTTTTATCTTTTCTATCTTATTCCTGAGTAAGCACAGGCTAAATTTACTGTAAGTATAGCACCTGCTGTTGCCTTTGGAGAAATTAAATGTAAATGCCTTTCTATTTCCCTACAGTTTCTGATTTTGAATGAATTATACCCAGACTCCCTAGGAGGGAGAAGAGCCAAATAAAGGCATGTTACAGAAAAAAAACCCCGAACAGATACAGTTAAAGAACCCTGGATAAAAATTACACAATAGACAGTTTCATGGCAAATCAATCCTGTTAACAAAGTAAAATCAATCAGCAAAACATAGGAAACTGTCACGCTTCTGAGACAAGAGAAGAAAAAAGTAAAGAATTTAAGATGCAACATCTGAAGTTTAGAAGACCTGCCTAAACTCTACAGTGAACCAATTGAACAAATTATAGAAAGTACTGTCTCACATGGCTACTTAAAATGTGCTATTCATAATATTAAAAAAATGTAAAGTGCACAAATTATAAAATCAAACTATTTTTGAGATTTTACAATCTATGCCCCAAAACATAAATATCTAGATAAACACATAATAGGTTAAAACTTCAGTCATATTCTTAATTATTGACTCTTAATAGCAAGATTATTAAATTTTGAAATGTAATTTATTTATTACTACCTCCTTTGTTGGAATGAAGATTTTATATGGTATAATTCGACCTGCTACTGAGTAGAAGAATTTTTATCTCCAATACATAGATTTGAATTCATGAAAAAAAGAGATCAGTCAACTGTATATTTGTTCTTTTTCTTACACCACCGATAATTAATAGCAAAGTTAGGAAGATAAGAGACTGAATTACTGTACACTTTATCAATGAACTATTTATACTTATTTTCCCCCATTTCTTCCCCCTTTTCCTTTCTGAAACCAGACAATCAATCAGCACATAAAGGAACTCATTTACATGGAACACTATCACACTTGTCCTTGTGGGGCCACCATTTCATGAACATCCCAGGATGTATGGCTGTTGAAGACTGATGCATATATAGATTTAACAAATAACAGTTCTTATGCAAAGAGCAATCACAGAGAAAAATACCTAATCAGAACACATTACAACATTAAATTTTCACTTTTTATAAATGGAGTAAAGATGCTTTTAAATATATTTACAGTTAGAAAAAAGGATTTAGGATTACTACAAGTCAAAATTATTTAGAAATTATGAAAGTGAAGTTCATTTAAATTATATTATGAACAGACTCAAATGCAGTATTTTGCTTAGAACTTGTCTACTCTGCTGTCAGTATTGTCACATTCTTTTAATCACCAACAGGCAAAAACTCAACTTTGCTTAATGCTAAAACAAGCATCATTGCAATAAAACTCTGGCAACCTAATTGTTCAGTTAAAACCACCACAGCTTTTAAGAACCTAGCTGACTTCTGTAGCACCTGTTGTAGAAATTGCTCTTCAATGTCTTGTTCCATAATGAACATGGAGACTTTCTACATTATTTTTGATAACCATACTTGTAACACATTGTTGAGATTATTCTCTAGAGACAGTTGAATCATAGTAAAATCCACTCCATCCTTCCCTTCAAACCAAATAGCTACTTAATTCTGAAGATAGAGTCCTTTTGTTGGCAGTGCTGGGTGGTTTATTCACATAAACTTAAATAAAAATACATTTCCCATTTAGTGAAATACTGGTAATAGATTACTATTTCTTTGCAAAGAATTCTGAAATGTGTTAGAATTCATTACATTTCAAATTAGAAACACATTTCATAAAACTTCTTGCAATGAGATTAACTATCCTTAAACTGCTTAAACAGTTTCAGCTCTTTTGTAATCCATTACATCAGTATATTCTGCAAATAGTCCCACCTAAAAATAAAATATAAAAAAATAAAGTTGCAAAGCATGTATTTTTTCTTTTAAAAACTAGTGTAAGCTATTCTGAACACTAGCCCGGCCCCAAAAACATTTAAGAACCTTAAAAAGCATGTTTTACAGATACTAAATTTGGCCAGGTAACAGCAATGAACAGACATCCTATTTTTAGTAAGATAAAGCAGAATACATAATAAACAGGTCAGTAGTTAACCATCTGAAACAGCCTATAATTAACATTTGATGTCTAAAAAGTTTAAACAGCAACACCAAGGAATGAGGTATGTATGTTCTCAGATATCACATCAGACTCTCATTTTATGCAACTAACTGTATTTCACAACTAGCATCTTACAAAATAGAACAGTACCATTGTGCCTGTAGAAGTACTGCATTAAAAACAGAAAAATACATTACTACAAGAAACCACCAAACATCACAATTGTCAGGGGCTACAAAAATCCATTATTTTAAGCCGTTAAGAAGACATATCATATGTAGGTAATTATTTGGGGCTGGATTCACTACCAAGAAGGTCCATCCAACTTTCACATAGGCTTAAAAATATATTTACTTTGAATGAAAAAGAAAAGGCTCACGGGAGTGTAAGTGCCCTACCTCACTAAAAGGAGCTAAATGAACTTTTGTACTGAACCAGATTATATAATTTAAAATCTATACATGAATTGTATGTATGTATGTATGAAAACACTTATTGGTTGTAAACAAAAATGCAAAATCTGTATTCACAAAAATATTTTATTGGTAATTTTACATAATACCAGGTGGTATTGTAAATAGTTTTGCTCTTTATCAGTATATTGCTAAGTGCGTGAATGTTGACAGCTTATGCCATAAAGTAGGATACTGAGTCTTTTTCCAATGATTTATGACATAATATATTCTAACAGGCCAATTCAATATTAAAGAAATTTATTCAGGAACAAAAAAAAAATAATAGAATTATTATTTCCTTTTTCTTGTGCAACATCTGATATTCCTGTACTGAAATGATAAGGGACTATGTGACACTAGAAAAATCTGGGGCAAGGAAACAGCACTAAGCAGAAATGAGAACTGCAGATCTGTTCTTTTTAAAGCTTTTCCAAACTTTCATATTTCCAAATAGTTTTTGCCAAATGCATCACCATCTGAGGTTCAGTATTTGTTACACAACACAAAATACCAGTGTACAGCGACAATGCAGTACTTTACCTGAATTGAAAGGTTAACTAATCAATGCTTAGAATGTGTTTTCTATTTTGCTTGTAAACATTACAATAAGTGTTTTAAGTGTCAAAAAATATTGGTAAAACCATCAACATAATTCAGTAACAGTAATCTAGTAAAATGTGTCAAACATTGGCAAAAATCCATACAAATGTTTTCTTTAATAACATTTTTCCTATTTAACCACACCAAGTACCAGCAGGTGTTTTTAAGAAGATAATTATTATGAAAATTCTGTTGCAGCAATAATTGATTAAGTTGATCTTTGACTTGCATACATATAACTATGTTTCACAATTCTCAAATAATACATATTTAGGCAGCTTGAACTATGTTATAAAAATTTAAATTCAGTACATGCCAATAGTAGAGATTCCAAGAGTTGTGTTAGAATTCACTAAACTAAAAGTGAAAATGGACATATCGATAACACTGCATAATGAACATTCAAACCACATTTTCATGGCACCCTTACACACGTAGATTAAAAAGTTGGTCTGAAGATGCTTCACAAGCATTTGTTGATAGCATTTAAATTACTATAGAATCACAAAATAAGCTGAGTTGGAAGGGACCAAAAAGGATCATCGAGTCCAAATTCTGGCCCTGCACAAGACAGCCCCAAGAGTCACACCATGTGCCTGAGAGTGTTGTCCAAACTCTTCTTGAACTCTGTCAGGCTGGTGCTGTGACCATTTCCCTGGGGAGCCTGTTCCAGTGCCCAGCCACCCTCTGGGTGAGAAACCTTTCGTGGTATCTAACCTAAACCTCCCCTGACTCAGCTTCATGCTGTTATTATCACTGCACTTTTTTTCTTTCTTTTTTTTAAACTGCATTATGTTCCAGTCAACATATCAATTATGCATGACTAATCTGTCATGAAAATGTGGTGACAGAACTTACGTATTTGCATGTTTTGAAGACACTAATGAAACTGGAGGAAATAAACTTTAATGAGATTCCCCGTTCAGTGACGACGCTTCTCCTCTGGGTGAAGATGACCTGGACATTCCCCTCTCTGTGTTGTCAGAGCTAGAACCACTCTGACTGTGTTGATCTGCAGAAGCAGCACTGGAAGCAGGTGGTGACTTAGTTTTCTCCTTAAAGTCTGTAATAATGACTGTCAGATCTCCAACGGTAACTTCCAAATGCTGAGCACTACTTCGATCCACATTTTTCAACCTTGGCCTAAATAAAGGAAATAATCATATTAAAAGTACACATACCATCTTATTATCTTGTCTCCCTCTTACTTTTTAGGAGCTCAGGAGAACAAATGTGTATATAAGACTTCTTTTTGCAACATGTATTATGTAGGAAAACAAAGTACCAGAAGTATTAACAGTGGAGTGTTTCCTAGTACGTTTTACATTGAAATAGTTGAATATAACACATTACCATCTCGTAAAACTATTTGTAAGTTGACATTTTTAATAATGTCACTATCCAGCAATCTGTGAAGGTTTTTACTTTTAAAACCCAATTCTTTCGTTATTGTGACTGTGCAAAGTTATAAATTTGATCCAGGGAAACATCCATCCCTGCAGCAGCCTGAAGCAACAATTCTAAGTAGAAAATTAGGTTCAGTAATGAAGATGTTGGTGTCTGTCTTTTGAATTCAACAGCACAGACAGTGTTAACTTGCAGCAGGTGTTACCTTATTTCAAAACCTCACTAGGACCTCTAGTATACAATTTGAACTGGACTTTGTGGTCACAGTATAACTGTTATTCCTGGTATCGTCTGTTTTAAATTATGCAGAGATGAATGATTCATAGTGTTGACAGACTAAGTATCTTCATTCAATCTTTCAACTGTTTAATTTTTCACAACAAAAAAAAACTAAAGAATAATTTGACTTCTGTTTTGACATCATATTTTTGCTGGTGACATGCATAAAATACTTTCAATTTAGTCCTTTCCCATGATCACCATGAAAAACTGATACCAGACAGCTGAATTTACACAAGCAGCTATGAACAGCACAATCTGTGCATTTTACTGACTCCACAGCTACCATTGGCTCAAGCTGCAATAAAATAATGACACCACATGTTTGCAGGTGTGATAACAGCACAGCTCTAACCTCTACCCTATCATCAACTTTGTTTGAAGTAGAATTTGTTCCCATTCACTTCAGCTGAAACAACTCGTGTCTTTTCTCCACTACAACTGAGATAGGCTTTGACATCATGTTCCCCTGAGGCTGAAGCAGCATGACTGAAGTAACTCAGAAAAAATTGAAAATCTGCTGATGTGCATCATGGGAATAGAGTGAAAAATTCAGAATTATCAACATGTGCAAGTGCTGTGTACCTGGAGATTATTACTTATACTGAGTGTGCATGAAGATTTTTGTAGTTGTTTCCAGCAATAATATATACATTTTAAGGCAAAAAGAAAAGGATATCCTTTTTTTAAAAAATACTGAAGAAATCCGCCTAAACTAATCAGGCATTCTTAACTTACTATTGTACCTAGCGAAACAATTCTTGAAAAAAATTAATGGTTTGAAGCATTAAAAAAAAAAAAATCAATTCTTAATGCAAGATCATACTGGTATTTTGGCCCAAGATTTTATTTTAGGTCTTTTTCAAATTTCCTTAATCTTTCCCTGTCTCATTTTTTGCATTTTTACTGTATTATTGCAATTTACTCAATATTTCAATTTATAATTGGCTTAACTAAAGCTCACTACGCTAACATCAAATGCTTCATAACTGAAGTACTTCAGCTGCATGAGGTAAGCTTGTAGATTTGAGTATTTAAAAAAGAAAAATGAAAGGAAATAACACCTCAGTGTCCTTAATCCTAACCATGACTTTCCTAATGACTGCTCTCTACTGACTCAGTCTCTTCCTTGTTCTGATCCTAATGATCCTATTTCAGGCACAACAGAAGCATCTGCTACCTCTCTGCATAACTAATCCCAAAGGATATTTCTTGGCTGGGCTATTTTGGAGTGCTTCCAAAAAAAAAAAAAAAAAATCAATAGTTCCTCCCACATTTGCTTAGACTACATGACTTATACACTTTTCAGCTTTTTTGACACAGCATTCTTGCCACAATAAATTTATCCTTAGATTATGATGAATTGGGGATTAAACCTGCTGCTTTTGTTTAGCAGTTTGCACCCTCCTTCCTTACAGCAAGATAAAGGCTTTTACAACTGCTTGTCTGTACTGCAATATTTCATGTTTTCACTTCTAAGAGTCCTTCAGCATTCCAGATGTGGCATAGAGAGTTCTGTCACTAGGTAATTGACATACCTTATCCTGTCACATTAATTTATGTCCTAGTTCAGCCCTTCAAAGCTGAAGGGTTCTACAAGGCTATCAATAACTAAGTTATTTTCCCTACTCATCTCTGGTCTGGTACTGGTTCTCTCTCCTCCCACTACTATTTTGCATGAAAACTAATCACTCCCATCCCCTCTTTTTTCCAGATATTAATATCATCAATTTGCCTATCAACAGTTTTGTATGGTATGAAAAACACTTCTATAAACTCTTAAAACAATACACTAAATAACCTTTAAAAAGTCTTTCTTTCTCTGTTCAGCTGATCTCCATCTTCTGGCCACAAGTACACACTGCAGGTCTTCTTCATATTTTATAGACAGCCTAAACCAAAAAACTTCACACCAATATATAGCCTAGCTGTTTGCCACAGCACTTAGAAACCAGTAAAATCAAAGAACACTTTCTTATTTTTGTTCATAAATGACATTTTATGAATACCACAAAAGTTTCTAAATTTTTTACCTGGTTTTCTTATGACTGTTCTTTTTGCTTGTTGTTTCCTTTTCACTTTTTTCCTTTTCTACTTTGTCTTTTTTCTCTTTCTTTGATTGGGTAGGGGGCACAAATTGCTGAGGAACCTGTTGTGCAACCAGCTGAGAGACAGGTCGAGGTTTCCTGTGTGCACATATATATAGACATGCATAATGCTTAGACTTTTCAAGTCTCAAACTGTCTACACTTCAGTTATTAACATTAACCATCACTGTAAAGAAATATTGTTTAAACATATCTTGCTGCTAATACTTCATTAAGACAGCATATAAAATTTAAACCCATTATAGCCTTTTGATTCACTTACTTGCATTATCAACAAATGTGATTCTTTTTTTTATTTTACAGCATTTAGAGACAATATTTGCAATGAGCCCTCTTCTTGCAGCTGTCATATCCAGACAGAGAGCTCAGAGTGAGCTCCAAAAGACAATTCTTCCAGAAATTACATTACCACTCATTCCCAGCCCCTTCAAATGTTGGAATGGTCTGGTTTGAGTCTACTCCAGTACAGAAGCAGACAATCCTCATCACAAAAAGGAAAAAGCTGACCTTTGAGGTATCAGAGCTAAAGCATTGTTGGCCTTATAGAATAAAATTCAAGTGTTTTCAGCTCAAACAAATTTATTGGAGGCAATAAATAAATCCTGTTTTGTGTAATTTTTATCATGTTGTTCACTGGAAAAATATACACTGCTAATTAATATGTAGGCTATAGCTGTCAGAACACATACAGTTTGGAAGCTGGCAACAGAAACATAAGACCACATTCCATCAGTATACACAGTGCAGGTTTCATTTCTGAGTTTTGATCCAAACTAAAAACCAGTGTGAAAAGAGCAACAGCAGGCAAAAGAATTTCAACAGTTTATTAGTTTTACATTTTCCAAGATATTATTTTGAAGTGGATTAATTTTTTTTATTCTGTTTTGTATTGGAATTCAATGATCCTAATTTGAAATGAAACATTTTACTCATTACATTGCAAGTGCATTTACTTGTTCTGCAGTTTCAGAATTAAGAAATTTCAAGTCATGATACTTAAAAAGTTTCTGTTATTAACACTTTGAAGATGTAAATGTCTTCTCCAAAAGAATGCTTACCCTGCCAAGCTCTTGGGTTTTGTTAGTTGGATTGTGATGTTAGGTCTTTTAAAAATAGAAAAAGCACAAATTATATGCACTGTGATACTCTGAAAATACAAAACCGTTATCAAAGCAACAGAAGCCATCAGCTCACACACATACTTAGTTATCCCAACTCACAGGATCACACTACTGGCACTTCTTGCTTGGGTGAAGAGATGAGAAAAATAACAAGTGCAGGAAATCAAGGCAGCTCACATTAACAAGTTATATTTTCAGTAATGACTGCAATAGTTCCAAGTTACAGACTGAAAGCCAAATTACAAGAACTCAAAGTGTAGGAAAGAGAGTTAATATTAATCAGTTGAGATTTCATGAGTCTTCACAGTAAGTTCTTAATGAATTAAAATAAATTAAAGAATGACTATTAATAAATTGTCAACACAACAGAACTTTGGGATAAAAACTAGACTACCCCTTACTCACTCATGAACTGAGCCTACATTGACTCCTGGAGGGAGGAAGAACAGGAACAAATCCCTTTAGTGAAAACTCCCCAGTTTAAAGCACTAGAACCTTGCAAAGCACACACTGTAGTGAGCCCACAGTGAACAACTCAAATGGGCTCAATAGACTACAAATGTGCAGCTTAACAGAGTACATAAGACATTTTTAAGAAAACTTGCCTCAGAATTTTTCAACCTTTTTTCACAGTATTTCATAACAGAGCAAAACCACCAAGGTGTAATTGATGCACAAGCTTAAAATTGGTGGAAAACAGTTGTGACATATACAGAAAACTGATGATCTGTCTTGAATTGAAGATTGCTCCAGGAGACAGGGATACAGTTTGTCATGACAGTCAGGTGACAATCCCATCATTACTACACAGTGACCTGAGAGAATGATCAGACATGTTACTTATGAACTAAGACACTAGTGAACTTGACACACAAGGAATTGTTTCCCAGGAGCGTGGGCAACACCATGATTATGGAAACTTGTTAGAAAGGGGTAGAGAGGGGAAAAAACAATCTTAGCCAAGTAAGATCTGAATTTATAACCATTTCAGTTCCTGAGGGCAAACTAGATAATTTCTGTTAGAGTACAGATGGGAAATTAAGCTTAGTTCTAAGTCCTAGTCTTAGAACTTTTTTCCTAATACCATAAAATGAGTGGGACTGAAAAAAAATCTTTGCAACAAGGAGCAGAAGTCAGTAAAGACAAAAAAAACCCCAAAAAACAGAGAGAAATCATATTTTGGAAGATGCACTAAAAGTTAATCAAGAAGTTATATATGGCATTGCTGTGACAGGAGATTCTTTCCATTAAAGAGCCATATTTTTGTTGTCAATCTTTTCTACAGCTATCAGTTACATCTCTGTTCTAAATTTTATTATCTGCTTTCTCAAGTTCTGATTTATTAAATGAGGCATTCAAGGTTCCTATATTAAAAACATTGAGGAAAAAAAGTAATTAATCTCTCAACACTAGGAATGCCTTTCAAGTGCTCAATTTTTCCCCAGGTACTCAAAAGGGGCTAATGAACTGTAACCAAGCACTTCACAAGCCATGCAGGTGTCAGGAGATAACTCTACTACATTCATGAAGCTTGAACCTGATAGAATTGTTCCTGCTTAGTGGTAGCTGAATCATGTCATTCAAGCATGAATAAATTCATAGAGAAAAGGCTATTTTAGAGAAGATAAAAATAAGAGAAACTATCCCTGTAACAGGAAATTGATTTTGATGATTTGCCAAAATACAACATTTTAAATTAGTCATTTTCAAGCCAGTTAAAGACTCCTTGCAATATGCTGCTACAGATTAAGTAGATATGATGTTAACATGGCCTTTTGTTTATATTTATGGTAATTTGCTCTTTAAGAATATTCAAGAGCACCTGAGCTAATTGGTGTTTAGAAAGAAGCTCTATAATATTTTGCATTAAGATTACAAGCATTTTTGCCTCTATCACTGGACCACTACTGGACCACCACAACTGAACAATTCAGAACTACAAGCAGAAATATTCATAAAAACAATACCTATTATTTAGCCAGCCCCTAAAAGCTTTGTATTTTTGCCTAGTAATTCCACTTTAGTCATTCAAAGCAGAACACAGAGAAAGGCATACACTATTACAGAAGATGAGCGCTAGCAATTCTTTCCAGAGGTGAACTTCATGGTTTAAGCACTGTAGCCATATCAAGAAACTGATTTACTGAGCTCCAAGAGATCTCTAAACATCACATCTCTGAATACTGCACTCCCCTTCTCCATCTAGTTTTCCTTTTTAGACAGTGTTATCTTTCTTCTAAGTTGACATCAGCCATACTTCTACCTACACGTCTATCCCAATCTCATCCATTACACTTTTTTTTAATTATCTAATTCCAATGCTGTTTTTTATCAAGGTCCTACTTGATAGGCTCTTCATAGTCTCCTTTAAAAAATTAGAAAAACTAACATTTTTGGTCCTTTAACAGCCAATAGTCATTAAGACAAACATATGAGGATAAAGTTTTTGTCTTCCCCTAAATTCCCATAAATGCTCAAAAACAAAGATGTCATCATTTTAACTCTAGCCTTCTTGTTGCAGGATGTAACTACATTTTATCTTACCAGGTTTGATCTAGCTGCTGGTTTAGAAAGCATACTTACAGAGGCTGCAGAAACTTGTCTTTGCTTTAGCATTTGCATGCAGAAACTCATTCAGTACTGACACTCTAAAATATTTAATACTGCGAAGGATGAACTGGTTTTCATTGCTGACATTCTTAAAAAAAAAATCTTTGTAGCACAGAAATTTACATGCCTAGAGATGAAAAATTCTCAAGAAGACCACATGATATCTGGAACTGTTGCCCTGAGTAATTTCCATTACCCAGAGCTCAACACAATACCTGTGATGTACATAAAAAAATTTGGACATCTCACAGCAGTACATGCTTCCTTGACTTCCCTCACCTACTATTCACCAATAGCCTGCGTTAATAGGATTTTGACTAATTTGATATGGTGAGTAACTTGGTCTCATCACAGCAAAGCAGATCCATTTTGAGAACCAAAGTAAACAAAAAATATCTATACAATACTGATGACCAACACAGACACCAGAAAGTACAGTAAACTCTCAGTTGCCCAAGTTGCTCATCAAACATGCAGACAACCAAACTGGCTTAATGCTGAAGCATCTTGGTGTTTAGCTGAATTTAATTTATATAGAGCACAACTACATTTGCACAATTCTGCTTCTGCAGCGATTACAAGTCCACAAAGCACCTAATGTCTTCTGCACTATTCAGAGTACAAGCTCCAATTCCGACAGACCTGAACTACTTATCTGTCAATCAGCTTTAGGGTTCATGTGCCACAGTCTGGAAACAAGGAGCATGATCGTGCCAACTGTGATAATTTTTCCATGAACCATCCCCAAATCTACCTACATCTCAAGAGAGTTCTGTGTTAGCATGAGGTAGCCCTGCATGTAAAGTTGGGAGTTGATTTGTCCATTTGGTGCCACAAATCCTGAATGGCCAGAGCCAGCCAAATAAGACTGCCAAGCAGCACAGAGTCCTGCCAAGCAAGTGAGGCTGCAGAGAGCACAGAGACACCAACAGTCCAACAGAGCAGCCAACACATTCGCTTTGATTTAGGGGGAGCCATCCTGGACTTGAAATGGTCCACATAACCCATACTTTTCTATACAGAAATCTAGATGTTATAATTAAATCCCAGTGCTTTTTCCAACCTGTTGAGGGAAGTGTATTGTCATCTACAATGTGCAGTTTAGAGGCTTCAGACATCCTGAAGAGCGGGCAACTTATTCAAAGGCACACTCTTTCCTGAAGCTCTATCTCCTGTTTTGTATATTTTACTACTGCAGAAATAGTAAAATTACAATTTCCCAATTGAAACACAATGGGTCTAGATTAAGAAAATGCTGTCACCGCAGCATTCAATCAAGCTGAAAGATGTTCTTCAAAAGAAAACCTGGATCCTTCAATTCTGCTTAAAATGGAAGAGCTTCCATTT